TACAGAGACATAAGAAGAGGTGGTATTCAGCAGGTTCTGACCAGTTCTGAAGAACCGGAAGCAGAAATTTTGAGTAGTTTGGAGAACCAGTAAATACCACCTCTGACGGCCCCACTCCATCTATTCTCTGCCTCCTGAGTCCCAGCTGATCGGGAGGAAATGGGTATTTTGCAGTAACTTTTCTCTGGAGTGAGGAGGGAATGGAGATTTTACAGAGTCCTTACCCTGCCACGCCCACTAAGTCACTCCCACTAAGCCATGCTACAGCCCATAGAACCGATAGTAAAAAAAAATTAATCCCACCCCTGGACATAAGCCAAATTTAAACCAATATATACTTGTTTTCAGAAACTGTTGTAGTTGTACAAATTCTTTAGTTTTAATTTTTGTAGTAACAACTGTTCATCTTGAAAGAAGATAGATAGACAAACAAAAGCAAGACAATATTGTCACAGCAGAAAAAAATCTCCTTAATTACAACCATTTATCGGTATGAGAGAGATTTTGGTGTAGTGGTTAAGGCACCAGGCTAAAAACTGGGAGACTATGAGATCTGGTCTGCCTTAGGCATGAAGCCAGAGGCGTAACCCTGAACCAGTCACTGTGTCAAAGCTAGGAAGAAGTTAATGTCAAGCCATTTCCAAACAGCTTGCCAAGCAAATTCAGAGACTTGTACAGGCGGTTGCCAGGAGTCAAGAATAGCTTGAAGGTATGAAAAAACAAAGGCCTACCAATATATACCTGTTATGAACTATAGCAAGAGAGCTAAATTTTATGTTTGTTCAAATTGACTTCCCCTTTCATTTTATTGGCAAAATAAATCTGGCATTGTCAACCAGATCTAAAAGAGCAAAATCCAAGTCACGTTAGGTTATATAGGTTGAGAATGTGATTGACTTTGACTTAGATCCTACCAAAGGGGTGCAACCAGTTTAACCTTTTCTTCACAATTTCACACACAGCTATTTGCATAATTTATTTCTATTTCTAGAACTTATTGGAACTGTGAAAGTAGTGTTACCTGATTTGGACTTCAAAAATCTGAACTATTATTACTGGATGGTAAGATAGAAATTATATTTCTCTGGATTATTTTTATTGCCATCTGTAGTTGCCTGTATTTCTTCAGCCCAAAGTTATGCAACCTGATAGAAATGCAAGAACAATGTAAGAAGAGTTGTGCTGTATCAAGCCAAAGGCTAAACATTTAAAATCATGGCCTCACACTTACCAACTAGATAGTCCCACCTTTTAAATTGTAATAATATATGATGATTCCATATGCAGGTAGTCCTTGACTTGCAACAGTTCATTTAGTGACTGTTCAAAGTTACAACGGCACTGGAAAAAGTGACTTATGATCATGCTTTCACAGTTAAGACCATTGCAGCATCCCTATGATCATGTCATCAAAATTCAGATGCTTGGCAACAGGTTCATATTTATGACGGTTGCAGTGTCCCACGGTCATGTGCGACCGTCTGACAAGCAAAATCAACAAATCAACAAGGAAACCAGATTCACTGAAGAACTGTGTTCTTAATTTAAAAACTGCAGAAATTCACTTAACAACTTTGGAAAGGAAAGTCATAAAATGGAGCAAAAGTCACTTAATAAATTTCTCATTTAGCAGCATCAAATCTGGGCTCAATTGTGGTCATAAACTGAGGACTACCTGTAGCATTCAGATGGATTAAACAGCAGGCAACCCACATAGACCATAGTTCCCATCTCCGATTCACATAAATGTGCACACAAATAGAAATGCATTAATGGGTATTTTCCACACCATTATCCATTTCATTAACTTCAAAGTTGGGCATTTCTGAAAAGTTCCTATAAACTCAATATTTGGGAAGCAATCTAGACTAGTAGCCTTCATATACTTTCATGCTTTGTAAGTGCTTTGTAGGATAAGAGTTTCATAGTTTTTGTATTTGATCCCAGAACAGTATGCCTAAGCATCTCTATTCAAATCCTAGCATTATTTCCAGATTTCTTGGTTAATCAGATGGAATTCTGGGCTACAATCAATCAGCTTCTTCATTGCCACCTTCCTTGGCCTTCCGTTTGCCTACAGAGTGCTGTTTCTTTCAAGAAGACCATGTTTTAATTACCTCATTATGCAGTATGATTAGCAGAAGACAAGGCTGCTTACTCATCCCTGCCAGAGAAATGTTTCAGACAAGACACTGTATTTATTTTTGTAGTTAGTAATAAAACAATATCTGAACAAAATCCTTCATCTTATTACCATTATCTTATCACTGTCTGTACCAGTCATAAAAGACAACAGCTACTGAACCTCTCCTTCTGTCAGACTGCTACTAAGGGCTTCATGGGAACTTTATAATGGACAGATTAGTGTCCAGAGGGATACTATTTTGGAATTTCAAACTGGACCCACAGCAAAAAAATGCATTTATTCAATATCCCCAGGTCTTATTAAGAATCAGGACATTTGTAGTAAATTTTATAGCAGAAATTTCAAGCCCTATATACAGATCAACATAGAAGAATACAGTGGTTATTGTGATACACAATAATCCCACTTTTAATGGGTCAGACCTTGTGGGCGAGGATGCCAGCACCTGAGTCAGGTTTCAGTTTCCTTAGAAGGAAATCACCAGAGACTGATGTATGTTCCTGGGCTGTAAGGTTTATTTACCCATAAATACACTCAAAAGATGCATCCAAAAGTTTTCTTTATCTCATAAAGAGTGTTTGGGGGGTTTGTTTGTTTGTTGATCTCATCACCTCCTTTCCAGGGTATATTACAAGCTGCTTAAGATTCTTCTTTGTTCTGTTCTGTTCTGTTATTCTGTTCTATTCTATTCTATTCTATTCTATTCTATTCTATTCTATTCTACTGTACACTACACTACACCACATTACAATTCACCTATCTATATTTCAATCATGAAAATAGCATGGAAATTTCTTTTAAAGAATTCTCTACATATTATTTCTTTTCCATCAACCTAAATGAAAATAATTCAGCACACATTCAGCAGAAATAAATCTTTTTCCCCATCTGACTTCTTGAAGGACTTGGACTTTTAGAGGGTTTTAGGGAGAACAAATACATTTTCTCCATCTTTCCTGGCTTTCTTAACAGTGACTGTTCAGTGCAGTGGTGGGTTGCTAACTGATTTACTACCGGTTTGCTCGCGCATGCACAACGTTACTGCACATGCACAAAAGCATCTGAGTGGGTGAGCGGAGCCTCCCGCCGCAGTCACTACTGGTTCGGCCAAACTGGGAGAAACCGGGAGCAACCCACCTCTGGTTCAGTGGCAAGCCAGGATAGTAACCACCTCTCTTTGACTGATGGGACACTTCTTGTTCAGGTAATTCCACATCACAATTCCTTGCTTTGATCTTAACACAGATTCAGTTAGCACATCCCTTAAGGTGGGAGAGAGTTCTCTTTTCACAGATTGAGAAGTAGCCAAATTAAACTTGACTGACCAGTTTCACTACTTTCAATCAATTTCTTTTCACCAGCACATATTGTAATACTTGTTTCAACCATTCACACCTTATTCTATTTTGCAATAAGGAGATAACTTGCAGGTTTATTTTGCTGAGTTTCATTGCAAATACACTGTGGAGGCAGCAAAAGGGTCTCCTTCCTACCCTTCCATAAAGATGATTCGGGCTTCAACTTTATTAACTATGAAAAAAAACCCATGTCGACTTCCTGGGGGCGTGGCCTGTTGCCGAGGAGGGCTCCACCGAGCTCCTCAGAGATCTGGTCTGTATATCTAAATAAGATCATAGATATCTCCCCTTTTTGGCTAAGAAAGGGGCAGGGAGTAGCTCTGTAGGCAAGGGTCTATTCGTAAACCACAGCCTTTTTCTTTTTTTGGCTGTGGATAGAGATTAGATCCAGCCGGAGCGGAGCTTTTATCTCCAGCCAGTTCTTCTCAGCTGCCTTTTTTTTTTGGCAGCCCCAGACAGGCTAGCCCCCCCCCCAGGACAAAACAAAGTTTTTTCAAGCTAGAATTGATACGGGCGGGTCCCACTCCTGTGAGATTTATGCTTTTATTACTATCTTAAATACCAGCACCATTCGTCTTAGAGACTTCTTTGTCTAAATGGACTTCAAAATGGCGATTTCTCTCCGTGGATGATTGATAGTGGATGTACTTAGCCGGTTTTACCTTCCTGCAGACCGCTCCTTAACAAAATAAACCCTTTTTCTTTGGAAACAGAGGGGAGCAAAAGCGCTGCTTATTTGTTTATTTATTATGGCACCCAGGTCAAAGAAGCGTCTTGCTACAAATGTGTCTAAAGAATCTAAAGAATCTAAAGAATTTTTACTGGAACCACA